CTAGAAAACAGATAAACAACTTCACAAAACAGATTTTGCATTAAAGCATGGTCCACTTCCTTAACACTAATGCAGCACAATGGAATATACCAAAGTGTAGTAAAACTGAGCAAGCCCTGCAGAAGTTTTGCATAACGCCCCAAACCAATTGATTTTGAAGTAAAGTATGCTTTCAAATAACTGCATTATTCTTGAGAAACAAGGAAAAATAATTACAGCATTATGGCTGCAAAACTGGACCCTTACCATAGATTGCTATTGCTGGTTTTGTTTTTTTTTTTTTTTTAAAGAGAAAAGCTCAGTAATCTTCTCTAGCTCGCAAACAAAATCAACAAAGTATTTTATTAATCACTACCCTGTTCTAACACCCCAAACTTGGTAAAGCTTGGTGTGGCCCTCCAGCCCCCTCAGGCACATGGCAACCAATCAGAACCATTACAGTTACAGTAAAAGAGATCAAATCTCCTCTTCTCCACAAGGCCTAAAGTCCAGCGGACAACTTAGTCTCACCAAAATGTGTTGCTATGTAAGCCTGACGTAAATAAATTGTCACAAGCGATTTGAGCGTCTTCCTAAAAATGGGTATCTGATGCTAATAGCAAGACCTACAGAGCACACCCTCAGTGCCTTACGCTGAGTATAGCCAGCTCTTTTAAAACTGCACTTTCCTGATGAGCAACGTAACGACCCGAGTCGGAGGGATATGTATACATATTTTATTTTTTTTTAAGTCAGCAGACTACAGAATGTTCTATGAGTTTACCAGGCAGCTGTGAATGCTATGGGCAGACAGGGACAACAGGCCACCTCCCCGTCCATCTTGATTTTAACTGGTAAATTTCAACCATCTTGGAAAAATGATTACAGGCACGAGTATGAGTCTTGTGGATACCCTTGTCTGAAGTTTTAATCAAATTTTTCTGTGGGGTCATGTGGAAAGCTGGTGAAGAGATGTAAAATGCTCTGTTATTACTAATGTTATAGATTCTTTATAATGTTATAGATTCTTTTTAAGAAGAGGCATGCACATTTCACTTGTAAAACTCACCTTCAAGAGGACAGATACAGCGCAGCAGCCTCTTTTTCACGATTTGGTTTCATTAGCACCTGAAACACAACAAAAAATTCAAGCGGAGGGATCATCTCTTAGGCTAGGCAACTCTCTTTTTCCCATTCTTGCTCCGGTTCCTTAACTTCAAAGAGCCATTTCTACTGCCATTTCACTGCGTCAATTAACAGGTTGGCAAACTGCACCCATCCTGCACACAGAGTACAGCAACGCTGCGCTAGTGGGGATCTACTCACGACAAAGCGTTACCCTCCTAATTCAGCATGCCCAATGTGGCACTTGCCTTCAGGAGCAGGTTGGGTTTGTTTTTTTTTAAAAAAAACTCTTGATATTTTAATTTTAATTACTTACCCAGTGATAACTGGTTAAGTTGGAGATTCTTCCAGTCCAGTATACTGTTCTTCATGCTTATCCCAATATGTTTCTTCAAACAGAAACTCGGTGACAAACTACTTAGTGTCCACTGAACTAGCTGAGATAAAATTGTGGATAGTTTGCTACTCCTATACTTCGATTAGTGGGAAAATAGTAAAAAGTATTACTGTAGTTCAAATAAATTTGTGCTCCTGCTTGTTTAAAACCTTTTAGTAATTAGAAATATCTATACTGTTCTAATGAAGAAACCCTGTAAATATAGATATTCTTTAATTTCCTATGAAGCATAGAATTAACCCACTTTCTGATAAACCTTTATTATTCCACCTGGGCACTGGATTCATTAATAATAATAAAAGAAATTCAGTTCTTTTCCATGTGCACAATACAAGTAAAAATTTCATACTATCACTATGGTCCATCTTCCTCTGTCTTGTACAATAATCCCATTTTTGTACAAGCAAACTAATGGCGCCAATTCATTTGCTTTTAACTTAAGCATATGTATGTGGCTCGACCTGAAATATTCCCTTTGAGGACTATAATAATTAATTGAACGTGCTATTCCTTCCTTTTCAATGAATCTGAGAACTGTAATTCCACACATTCTCAGAAGAGCACAAGGATTAATCACTGTGTCTGAAAATCTCCAAATTTATACTAATATCATTGCACATTTGTAAGTATCTATATATGTGCACAATTATAAGATCAAGAACAACAACAACAGACAGTGACACTGTAAAAATAATGAGTTTTAAAATCAACGGCTCCCTGCTGCTTTCTGCCTGACTGCACTCATGAGGACATACCTCTGTGCAAATTTTTGGGTATCACTGAAAGAAGGAAAAAGCTTCTGAATGGTTTAGTTATTTAGTGATTTTATATTATTAGCCTGTGCCTTTATTTGTTCTTGCTGCTCCTGATTTCATGTATTTCTTTCATGCCGCAGTGAAATAGTTTCCAGTTCATTTGGTATCACGAAAGCAGATCAACACCTTAATATTAATCCATAGACAAATTTACCTATTTTTTTTTTAAAGGAAGGATGTTTTCAAAGGAATTTTCTCACTATCAATCTCTTCTCTGGCTTTTCCTCATGAATGAGGAAAATCAAGTGTTTGCTGTTGCTGTTTTAGTTTTGGACCACAAAAATCCTCTAAGATGATCCTGAATCTCGACTGTCACTGTTCTTTACTAAATTTAGCCATCTTGACTTACTTCTGCCTTTATGTAGGCAGTTTTGATACTCAGGGACTAAAATCCATGCATATTCCCTCCTCTTCTAGTTCAGTGCAGAATTTTCAGTGAAGAAAGAACAGAAACTCCTTTCATGTTCTTCTGCATGACAGTTCATTTTAGAATGTTCTTCATACTGTAATCTCATTAGGCTGAACACATTATGAATTCTCTTTCCATACTTTAATTCTCCTCATATCACAAGTTTTATAGAAATCCATTTTAGTTTGTCATCTAATGACCATTTATCACATTAGAAACCCCACCCCCCCAAACAGTACTCGCTACATCAGCCAATAATGACAACATTTTTTCTTTAGCTTCTTTATTTAAAATCAATTTATATATCAGTTAATTTCAGCCATAAGAAACTGTTCTCGATAAAATCCCACTGTATTGGAATGGTAAACTCTCAACTACATTTATTTAAGAAAATAATACAACTATGCCCCACAAATTATGACAAAGTTTGAAAAGAAGTATCTCCCTCTTTCTTTACTATGTAATGAAGACAATGTCATAAAAGTACATAACAAAGCTCTAGAAAATTCAGGAAAAAATATAGAAAAATAAAAGCTCCCTATGAGTTTTGCCTTAGTCAAAAATTCTTTACTATTGGAAATAAAACATTAATAAATGGCTTTATACAAATAAATACATATTTTAATAGGTAAAATGTATCTGAAACATGAATTCTTCCTGTTTCAAAATTTCAAACTATGGAAAGAGTTAAAATGATGGGCTATACTGGCCAAAGGTTGGTTACAAGAGTCTTTATTTTGCAAACTATACAGAAACAGTAAAAAAGAAAATGCATTATACTTTTCAATATTACATAGGATAAACATTAAATTTAATATTTAATGTGTAGAAATTAATTCAAATAAGAAACTGATTTTCTTCTTAATTAACAATGAGAAACCGGTGATCCAGTTTTGAAATTATACAGCCTGTATTATTGCATTATACAGGTCATGTCGATTTTATTGTGGGCAGAAAGCAATATATATGATATGAACAAAGATGGTGGAGTCCCAAAATGTCTACACAATTAATTAACATGCTAACATAAATACAGTGATTAAAGTAATTTTCTCTACAGTCAAATCTTAAATGCTACTCTACACAATAATTATAATCTAGTCCACATGGTAATTACATAACAATAGGAAAAAAATTAAAATAATCCATTTTCTTCATTCCAGCAGCAGTACCTATACTGGTATTAATTTGGTAATTGGGTGTGCTTAGCTATTGCCTAACATCTTATACTGGTGTGCATGCTAAAACCTCTCTATTTCTATTTTGCAAGGCACCTTTACAATACGTTCTCTAAGTTTCCGCAATAGTAACAGAAAACAACATGAATTAAGATAAAGATGCAAAACTATTTCCCGAATTAAGAAAATAAAAAGTATCATATACATTTATTAAAAACTACCTTGGGGCAAATGCCAATATTCTGAAATACAGTCATGTATAAAGGTAATAGAATTTTAAGCAAAATTTTTTCCCATGTAAAATATTTTACGCTAATTGATTAGAGAGAAATACAGAGAAACAATAAAGGGTGAAGCAATGTTTGAGTAAATAATGATAAAGCCTATACAACCTTGATATGGAAGAAAAAAAAAATTAAAGAAGGACAAGAAAACTTTACAATTACAGCATTGGTGCTTGTCCATGCTACTGCTTTTGAAAAATCCTTTCAGTAACCTAGCCATTTCCTAGTAAAAAACATAACTACAAATGCAAACACAAAGGAGGACTTTGCTTTATTTTCCCCTCCTGATAATTTTTCTCCATACCTTTGGTTAATTAAAGACTGGTGATGTGCTACTCGTGCACCAATGTTTTCCTACTGTAATACATTTTTCATTTTTTAAACAGACAATGTGCAAAGCCCGCAGGGCCTAAAACACTGACAAACTAAAGTTAGGTTAGAGTATGTGTTCTGAAGAAGACATGCACCGTTCCAACTAAGGGCAAATACCTTACCACCAGAGCTTTAGAGACTGGTTGTCTTTATAGTGTGTTCTGCACATTTGTATTTTCAGTAGCACATAATGTTTCTTTCTTCAGGCTAGCCTTCCAATGTGTTTTCTTCAGCGCAAAGGCATTTAGAAACTCAAAAGCACATAATATAATTATTCTTATATAAACAAAAAAGTCTATGACTCCAGCCGCAATGTTTGAAATAATCATACAAAATATACATGTTTGTTAGAATCCTTTTGATCTTGGAGAGCAAAGGGATTTTATGAAATGTCATTTTGTGAATTTTAGAAAGGTACAATTCACAGACCCCCTAATATCATCAAATATATCCATCATGATCATCATCGTCATCAACATCATCATCTCCTTCATCTTCATCATCATCTTCAATTTCGTCTTCATCATTCATTATTTCATCTTCATCATCTTCATCATCTGTCCATTCATGGAAATCACCAGAGGCAAAATCACCTGAAGTCTCTAAATCGATAGCTAAAAAGGTATGATAGTTATAGAAAAGACACACAACACACACTACATATTTATAGTGTAATATACATAAGCATACAAAAGGCATACCACAATATTTAGTTTCAGGATGATTACTTATTTTAAACTACAGAGTGTGACACAGAAATAAAACATAAATAATACAAAATTTCTTTTGTCTTAAAAGAAAACCACTTCAATAGGGACAAATTTCTCAATGTTAACAAAAGGAGACAAATTTTATGGATTTGTAGAACTATGAGTGCCAGGAACAACTAAAAGATATTTAAGTCCAACCTAATAGTGTGTTAAATTTACCCTTTCTTTCAGGCTACATTCTTTTGTTGCAAAAGAAGTGGAAAGGAGTAATGTAAGGCTTTTTTTTTTTTTTAAAAAAAAAAAAAGTAAAATATTTTATTGCCATTTTTTTATCTGGGTCATCAAACAAAGGTGACATGGGAATTCTTGGAAGAAGTTACACAGTGCTGCAGGGAAGGGAAAAATAAGGGAAGATTTAGTGTGCTAGGAACTTTTGGCAATTCCCTCAAACACAAACTGAAAAAAAGTTGAATTGAGTTCACTAGCTTGCTGATTACCCAAGGGGTAATCAAGCATTTGGGGGCTTGTCTAACGCTGCTCTAGATAATTAACTTTCCTTAGGTTGATATACGCTATGCCAAGCACATATATGAGGTCTAATAATTGCTGACACAGCGATGAGTTGCAAAAAATAATGAAGTAATAACAATAATAAATTATAATTTGTTATTTTTTGTTTCAAAATCCAAGTAGTTGGGTCCCACATCTGTTCTTACTGAATAAATTTAATCTGGTTGGTAATTAAGGGGAATAACACCTCTGAACCAAATGTCACAAAGGGTTCTTAACTTACAGCATTCTGCCGCACCATTTGTTCTGGATCCTGTTACCTCATTACCATATCTGTCAACACACCAGCACTGCCCTACACTTCCATGGCACTGACTTGGTTTGTAATAGCCATCTTCATCACATAAGGGGATGTACTGCCCTGTAATATATAAATAATGAATAAGAATATTAAAAACTGCCTCTTGGCCAAAGTAACAATTATAGTAGAAAGTTACCTACCTTTTGCTGTTTCCTCATTCTAGACTCTACACTGATGGGTTTACCATGACTAAATTCAGTTAAGCAGAAGGTGACTGAATATATCAAATGTGGGAGGGAAAATAACACCTATCAGCCTTGGACTGATTTGAAGAAATACAGCAACCAATCTTGCTTTAAATTTTTCATTGATCCTGTGACACATATTCCTTACTCCCTGAACGTCTCAGTCCAGATCTTTGCTGTATTCTGGGGAAAAGGCTCAAATGTTGCACCCAACTCTGAATGTTCTATAATCCGTGGAGTACAAACAAGCCTGAGTAATAAGGGCCAGGCTTCCTGGACTAACAATCTATCTGCTATAAGGCCTAGGAGCTATTTTTATTTAACATATATTTTACAATCTGTTTAGTTACCTGCCAATATTTAATTACCCCACCACAGAAGACAACTGCAGTGTAACACACCAATTTTAAGAACAACAAATGTAAAAAAAGAATGTTAAATTTGCATTTACATGCCAAAGACTTAGGCAAATGAGGCTCTAAGCCCAAGGGGCTTCCCACCAAGAGTACAAGAGACACAGTCAGGGTCTTATTTTGTGAGGCAGTGACTTGCCTAAGGCTGAATAATCCATTGGTTTTCATTTGGAACAAACTGAGACTTTTTGAAAGAAACATAATATGTAGACAAACGACAACAAACAAAACATTCATATGAAAGCATTTTGAAGCATACAGTCGTTGTTAGAAACCATCCTTAGCAGAAATACAGCTTTGACTACTTTGGGCCAAGCCTTTTATGGCAGCTTTTTATACAGTGGCTAACAGTAAAATGAAGATATTACATTTCAGTAATACTGATACAGTGTAAACTGATTCACAACAGAGATTTCAATTACTCAAAGAATATTACAGGTAAAGGATCAGCAGAGATACTAATTTAGGAGTGCCTTAGACTGTCCCCTCCATAACTGTAAAAGCGTACCTTCTATTAGGGTAATAAAACATGTAATATCTTTTGGTAGGAAAGGTAATAAAACTAAGTTTAATAGCTTTCAAAAATTTCATAAATTTTGTTGCTGGAATTTACTGTGGTCTATCTTTGTTGGATTAATATTGATTTTATGTTGCTGTTTCACTAGGGTTATTTATGTAAGCAATAAAACCTTCAAAAGAATGATCTATGGCTCACCTAGGAGCTTCTTTCCTCCTTGCTGCTTCTGAATGTTGCTGAGTTCTGTCTGGCAAGGTGGGTCTAAAATGACATAAAAAATGTTAAACAGATTACAGTGTATCAAGGAAAGAAAGCATATGACTAAGTTTTCACAGTTTGCTACGTTCTAAGGTCACTCTAACTACTGATCTTAAGAAATAAACACATCCTGCATTACTAATCATGTCCTAAGCGCTGAAATAAAAGAATTACTGCACCTTGCTACACCTCCAGAATTATGAATTCGAGCACCACCATGGATTTGTGCAGAATGCCACTCCCAGTTAACCCAGATGTAAGTAAACAGCTACTCACCAGTCTGAAGGATCGAGGAATGCTAGACCAAAATAGTAACTCTGTCACACCCTATTTTATCAGTCTACAGAAACCAGAGTGTGACTGTGAAGCTTGCCTCATGTATTGGTTAGAAACAGGATGGCTCTTCTAATTCTTTCCCTTTTGTCCTTGTTAGAAGTCATGTTCAAGTTTTGTATTTCAAATACTACACTAAGAAAATAAGAATTGTCTCCACTGAAGTCTGCAAGATTGTGGTTCTATTGCAACAATTTAAGACTGAATCCCACGGGTACAAAGCCCCATGTTCAGCAAACTAAGTTAAAAACAGTGGCCAAACTTCAGATGTGTCTAAGAGGCAGAATAGGTATTAAAATTCAGTTTTCCATTCTTCAGAGTTATAGCTTACTGCAGTTCTGAATCATTTAATTTTCTACTGTCTGCAGAAGCAAGTCACAGTACACTCCATGAATGGGATGGAAATAAGACATGAATGTGTATATGTTACTCTTGAATAAGTGGAAGAATCAAAGCCAGCAAAGTACTAATCTCTGAACACTGACATTGCGTACTACGTTAGGACATTAGCACAAAGGCATTTCTCACTCTGAATCAGCAGTAGTATTACTGAGTTTACTCGCATGTATCTTTAGCTTATACCGTTCCCAGACAATATTCTGATAACATCTCACTAAAGTCTCACATTCTACGAATATTAAATGCATTTTCCATTTTAGCAGACTCTTGATTTTTTAGAATACATTTTTGCCAGGCAATTAACTCAAGGCTCCCTTCTGAAATATAGCGAAACTACTTTTTTTTTTCCATGCAAACAGAAAAAAATCTTCTGAGCTAGTTTAAAGATGAGTAAGACTGGCCTATCTTATTGATGAAGCACACACTTAGACCAGAATCCAGTCACTGTGTAGGGCAATGGGTAGGCAAAATCATTTGATTGGTGATAGTCCAAAGCAGCCTTTCCTGAATTCCTCCTAAAGGAAAACAAGAGTGCTCACCCTTTAGCCAGCTGAGAGCAGCACAAGATGCACAAAAAGAGTGCAGGGATGGCAAGAATACATTATAATACATGGAGGCACCTTTCCTGTGGAAACACTCAAACTCTGGTGACAAACGCTTAGATGAAATGGGGGATCAAAAATACATTTCTGGTGAACACCGGGCCTCCTGGCTGGCATAGCCTAGATATACCAATAGGCCTTTGGTATTACTCATGAGCTCTTATCTAACAGAGTAAATAGAAACTGGAAGACAACAATAACCCCTTACTGACAGCAGGCTTTAATTTCTCTTGGCTTCACATTTTAAATACTATTTACATATCCCAAACATTTAAAGAAGCTTATAAAAGCTTAGAGTGGCCTTGCCTTTGGTGGGCCACGTTTTCACGCTAAATCTATAATGATTTTTTTTAGAGTGAAGGCCTTAAAAGTAGGCTCTACTTTTAAATACTGTTTACAGGAGTCTTAGTGCCAGAACAAATTTTCAAGGGATGTCCTTCCAGACAACCAAGCAATTTTCTCTGTGTGCTCTTGAAAACCACTGGGACTTGACATCACTGGGTGGGTATTGGGTTTTAAGTAGTTAGCCTCTGAGTATTTGCTGAGGCTATTTAAAGTTTTACGTTTCTTATTTTAAGATGATCATGCTCAGTATTATGCCAGAGGTGTTCATTACCTTTCAAAACTAAGGTTTCTGTCTTTCCTGATATTTAAAGAGTTAAGCTCTTAATTATACAGCATTCTGAGGATCAATTATTTCTTAAACCAAAGGTATTTCCAATTAATCAGTAATCTAAAAAAATGATAGTAATTTATGCACACAAGTACCATGGACTAGAAGGATCTAGGATTGCGGTGGACTTGGCAGTGTTAGGTTAATGATTGCACTTGATGATCTCTAAGGTACTTTCCAACCTAAATGATTCTCTCCTATTCTAGTCTATTTTATTTTAGTCTATCTTTCAAAGAAGATGGGAAATATGAAGAAGAAGAACCAACCAAATAGGAAAAATACATACATTTTGTTCTATGGAAAAAAATCCTAAATTAGAAACACAGGGTTGCACACATAAGCACTAATATGTGGAAATGTAAAAATGATGGACTATGCCTAAAGAAAAAAATCTCCATTTACAGCTATAAATCTTTGGTGGTATAATTACAAAAAGGAATACCACTAACCAAAAGGTAACAAGGTAATATGAGAAAGTTACTTACCCAAAACTTTCTTCTTCTCAGAAGCTAGGTCTTCAAGATTCACACTTAAGCTTTGCTTCTCAGGATAAAAGCAGCAAAAACTCTTAACAATACTAAATCACTCTGGTGCTTAAAACTGTCAAAGAGAATGGCAGTCCAACCAATTCCTTTTGGTCCACAGCATATCCTTTTTCCTCTCTCCCCAACTCATAATGCTTCCCTCTTTATTTTCCAGTTAGTTCATGAGTTTGGAAAAGCTTTCTATTAGATTTCTCAACTTATTTCCATAAAAAAGCAGTGTGATTAAGCTTTGATTTACCAAAAAGAGGAACATTAACAGAGCAATGGGAGTAAAACTGGTAGATTTGACAAAGAATGTCTAGCATTTTTAACAGATGTGTCTCAAGGAGCTGCTACCCACACAGTGAGACTCTAGCTTTCACAGATTTTCCATCTCATTCAATTAATATCTGGCACAGCCTCTAACTTCTGGCATACGGTCCACTGCAGATCAGGCTGCCATGTGGTGCCTTGCCTGTGCTTGGGTTCAAGTATTAGAATTGTTCTTGGACAACCGAGGCTTGAACTTCAGGGATTTCAAGAAATCTTTCTGGGGACTGCAATTATGTGTTAAGGCATATTACACTTTCCTTTAGAATCTTCTATAAACATACTTGAAGTCCTGCAATCTGAAAAGGCTGATGTAACAAATATGGATCACAATAATTATCATTCTTCTGTAAGACAGACTAGTTTTAAAGTCATAATGATGTCTTCCAGCCTTGACAGACAGAAGAGCCTGTAAGAAAAGGCACCTAGAGAAGTGCTGGACTAATAGATCCATGCAGAGGCCTGCAATAAAGAAATACTTAGGTGCTAAGCATTAATATTCCTAGCAAAATTGTGTACTCTCCTACTCTGAAGCAGTGATGCAACAAAACCAAGGATGTAATACTAGCAGAAAGAAATTCCAACTATAAAAAGGGCAACACTGCAAGTGCCTCAGCATTTAGATAAGCGCTAAAGTGTTAAGCTAATGTCAAACAACTAAGAAAATAAGTTCTGAAGATGGGCGCTGAAGCATTTGCATGAATTGTAGTTGAAACTAGAGGGCAACAGCGACCAAAGCGTACAGGAAGACTTGCAAAGAGCACTAGCAAAGTGCAGATTTTGAAGTATTGCAGAAATCATTATAGTGTCTTGGATGTATCTCAGAAATACTAAACTACACTTAAAGCAGAATAAGGCCAAGAAAAAAAATGCAATAAGCACCACTGAGCCGTACATAAGTATTTAAGCATTAGTCAAGGCAGGACAGCTACTACAGGAATATCTTCTTCTGAGGAAGAAAGATCTGCCTTAAGTATTCATAAGAAGTTGCTTTTATTGACTGGAAGTTGTGAGTAATGTGCAGTAATGGGTCTACTGTATTGTAATGCATCACGAGAGACCTCAAGCAGAAAGAAAGAATGAAGAAGAGTTACAGGTACTTGTCTGATCCTGGCAGTCTTGAACTGTGAAGCTAAGATCAAAGAGCAAGAGGGCTTCTCAGATAATTATTAAAAGCAAATACTATGCTCTTTAAAAAAGCACAATGGAATTTCTATCCCAGTACGATACATATTGTCGACCAAATTTTGTATTCACTTTGAACATCATTAATCTATAGCAGTCTCGTAAAACTGTAGATCTGCCCAGAAAGCACTGACTAAGCTCAATGAATAGAGAGAGCTGTCTGCATGGCTTGAAGAATTCTGCTAATATCAACTTATAGTAAACATCAGAAAGAAGCCAGTCAATTTTTCTACCTAGCCATTTCTCTGCTATTAATAGCAAAGGCCTAGTTAAAGATCTTATTTAGATTGTTCAGTCAAGTAAAACATAACCAAACGTGACCATATCACAAGGTTTAACATAACACTGGAAATTATGAATAGAGAATCCAGTGGGTCACTAATACAGTAGGGAGGTAGGACCCAGATAGTTGTGCAAGAACTAATAATAAGATGTGACAAGTCTATAAGCTTTTTTTTCCTCCTTACACCTTCAAAAAAATAAAAAAGGACAATACAGATTTTATTGACAGTGTTAATTTTGAGGGATGGAGTGCATGTTTAATGTGCAAGGATGGCCAAAACCAAGATTTTGCCTCATTTACAACATTGAGGATACATCTTTTTTACTGTATGCTCAAACACACCGTGGTATCAAAAGCTATCTAATCTGTTTTAAATCAGCACCTTATCACAACACCATCATCAAGACAGTGAGGAAATTGGTAAAAAGGGAAGAAAAGCTTTATAGCGTTGGATTCTGCAATGGGGAGAATCAGTGTCACTGAAAGCTGGATCCCAGATTTTTAGCCTTCGGGGTACCATTAATATAATTTAGTTGTGTTTAGATCAGTCTTTACGATACTATCCCTAGGTTCTAGTGGTACACTGAGCAAATATTTAAGACAAAGAGTATTTATAGGCAATAGAATGCAAAACTACTTGAAACTAATCTGTGGAAGTGCTTTCTTAATGCCCTGGTTATGCTGTACATGCATTATATAAAATTGGTAAAAGAGCCAATTGCCCTCCAAAGAGTAAGGGTGTTTATATATTGAGCTGAAATGACTGTGGTGGCGGTTTTTTTTTTTATTTTAAAGACAACCAAGTAAAACATGTTACGTTCTTTACTTTAAAAACCACTTTACTTTTTGGCATGGGTTATTTTGCATTTACTAATTTTGTTAGCAGTACATACATGCTTATAAAAATAAAAGCCAAAACATTGTTCTATTACAAAACAAACAAGGTGTTTAGAAAGATTAAGTGTTAACTTTTTAACTACAAAGTTACTAAAGAAAAGAAGTCTGCTATTTAGTATGTATGTATGTATCTACAGAAGTAAAGCTTTATTTTTGTTCAGATTTACAATGGGTAGATGTGGCATGATAAAAAGCTTTATTTCCACAGAAATCAGAGCCAAAGCATAGATGCTGAGTGCTAATGGGAATTTATCATGAGAGTTTTAAGGGCACAACTGAATTAGAAAATTGATATTAAAATTTTCAAAAAGGCTGAACTGATTTTGCAAGTTTTCCACCAAATCAGTCTTATCTCTTCTACTGGCAGTAGAAATTTGGACCCTGTTTGCCATTTATTTCTTTGAAAATATCCCTCATGTTAGTAAGAAAAATGAAAAGGGCAATTCCGTCCAGCTTCAGCCAATATTTAATGAGTAAACTCTTTGATTCATTACTACTAATTTGATTATGTAATTCATGTGATGTCTCACCTAGGTCTAAAATTGTTATTTGATCCTCAGGAAAATAATGCTTATAGATTGTGTTTATTTGTTTAACCAAATCACGTCAAGACATTAACAAGAGATTCATCTAGGCACTAAAAATCAATTGGTTTTAGGTCCAAATGACTGGAAATAACTTTATCCATAATGTTAATTCAGTTATTTTAATAGGCTTACAAAATGGAACATTAAGATGCCCTACTTCAGCAATAAAAAAGTTTATTTTATAATGTAGGCAAAGTAGATTGGGAAAGAAATAATTTAAGTAATTTTGTTCCTTATTTTGGCCTCTTTCCTCTGCATACTTACTGGAAGTTGGCATGAGAAACAATATTGCTCTAAAAGCATTAGCTGCTATTTAGCACTTTATTTAGAATCCTTGAATTTCTAGCAACCTTTCCATTTAGCTTGGGGGGTTTGTTTGTTTGTTTTGTTTTAGGTATTCAAAATAAGTTATAAACCTTAACACAAATTCATGGTACAGCATTTAAAAGCTTGTAGTTCACTGTAATCTTCTCAACATGTTAAAAAAAAGATAAAGCACTACAAAAAGGTCAGTCACATACATACGCAGGTTGTTCTCATCTTTTACCTTGCTGTCTTTGGAAGCAGTAGCACCACTCATTGTTAGATATCAAACTGTCCTTGTATGTGTCACAAGAATTGAAGAACGCCTTGGTGCATGGCTCATTCTTGTCAAGGTAAATGCTTCCAAGTTCTGACTGGTCCAACAACAGGTCATAGTTTGTATCAAGCCTATTAAACATCCAGCCAAGGGAGTCTTTGCAAATTGGCAAAATGCTGGTATCAAATCCTGAGGGGAAAAAAAAAAAAAGAAAAAAAGAAATAAAAATCATATCGCAGGAACGATACAGCAGCTCCTGAGCTCAGCCACCACAAAAGAATGCGACATCATGGAAATTGCTCCAGTGGTACATGTATACAGTATATAAAGTGTATGTTATTGAAATACTACATATAAATTATATGTCAGCTTCATTTTAAAAGTCATTAAATTAACCTCCTAAAAAATAATCTCACCATCAGTCTCAAAGCATTTAGAAATATGAGTTTTCTTGTCAAACATTACACCTATAGCACACTCAATAAATGATCTACAGTGATTTCCTGGAAAATAATTCTGTTGAAGAATTTCAGTGATATTATACATCAGGAGAGTGAAGCTTAAGTGGTTTGCAATGTTCACAGAACTAAGAGGAGAATAAATTCCAGGTAACTTGTTGGGAGTCCGTTCTTTTCTTCCTACAACATATATTCAGTTCTATGAAAAAGGAACATGATACTCAGTCTCAGCAATGCCTTTAAAGTTACGGTATTTTATCTTTACCTGATGTATTTTATGTCTTGGAGGAGGCTGTGGAAAAGATGATTCCTAAGAGCAGCTGGCTGCCAGTATCAGACCTACTAATACAGCTTGCATCTTCCTAAATTGTTGCCTGGAAGAAGGGCCATCAGGAACAGGCAACAATAAAGAAATCTGAAAAGTGTTTTTATGCTGCTAAAACAGGTCAGCTTGGATAATTCAGTAATCAGATCTAGGAATCAGTAGATTTTCCTTTAGATATATATGTATGTGGAGATATCCGTGCTGTGGTAGAACGACCATTTCAGACCACATAAAGATCATCACCTCGGTTCCATGTTCATGTTATAAACCCTTAAGAGATTACTGTGGTGAAGTAAAATTCTTGGTGCAATTTTAAAGAACCCTTAAGGGACTGCCCAAATTCAGGATCATCGGGTGCTTTCTCTCTGCAATGACTTCCTTCCTCTACAATAATATTGATATAGGTGTCACTCTTGAAGGTGCTATACTTGAGAAAGAGAGCCAGGAAAGCACTTCAGCACATGCCTACAGTTTGACATCTGCTAATGTGGTTTGACACACGAGGTGGTCAGGTGATACAGAACTAAGATTCACAAAGTCACCAGGTGACCCAGAACTAGGAAATTAATTGCCCAAATCACAGACTACCTATATTATCACTTTGAGCGCCAACTGGAATGCTGTTCTTACACATTTTTCACAGTTGTGAGACAAAACGAAAAGCAGAAACTAAAGAGGGAAAGTTAGTATACTTGAAGGAGAGTAATTTATTCCTGATGATTAAGTACCAGGACATTACACTGAGGAAAGCAAAAATTGCTGCTCAGATGTCTAAATTACGAAAGAAGATTTTCTCTCATTTTAACCACTTATTTGAAATCCATTTCCATATAGCGTAATGAAATGAGCTTTTGTGCAGCTAAATATTGTCTAGAAAAATGAGAAGTACCAGCTTAAGCTCTTTTCCTCAGCCAAAGCAATCCCAAGGGAAATATTATTGAGAAATATACCCCTCCTCTGTGCCTTACACATTAGCATTCAAAATATCTCCCCAGAAGGAACCAACAGAAATGCTCCTGTGTTTCTGATAATTTCTCAGGGGAAAATTTCAACTCTTAGTAAATATAATGTGCTTTTCAAGATAAAACTATTGTTTGCCTGCTTATTAAGCTTGTAGGTAATAAATCCTTGTATACAGTGAGGAAGATAGCTTTTGACATGATGCAGAAATCAAAACAGCATACATACATATGGCTCATATATTGCACTAGCTAAAAATTGTTTATCTAATATGCCAGGAAAAGTAAACTGCACGATTCTTTCTAATACACTGTCTGGTACTCTAAAAGACACTGACAAATCACATGTGAATAAACACCCAGGCACTCTGCTTGAGTCCTGACTGTCATCTAGACGTTGGCTTTTACTTGCTCAGCATGCAAGCTATATAGCAAGAAGGTTTTCATTTGTGATGGACTTGTCTAGTATTTTGGCTATCAGAAAATCTTCAGTTAACAGCATCTCACAGCTGAGGTCTACCATGCACAAGGTAGGAACAAGTTTTCCTTCTTAATGTAGTTTTATCAGGACAGACCAGAGCTGGAAGGACTAAACTAAAGAGAGGACCAAGCAGGCGTGAATGCTTTCTGTCACATTTGCTGTTCAGGAAAGTGATAGTCTAGTTGAGACTCATCTGGCTCCATACTAGCCCAAGAAGGAGACAGATGAGGCATAACATTCTCTGTCACCTGTCTAAAGTTGTAATGTATTCCTGCTCACTATGATTACATAGATAGGAGCAGAGCCTGGGTTAGGGCAAGACAAGGGGAAGGAACCAATGGTCTTACGATAAACCTAGGATAACTGACTCTCATTTTACAACAGAAGGTACAAGGGAAAGAAATAAAGCACAAGCTGCAATGTCCCTTAAACACTCGTGAAAGTTTGCATCCTGAAGTCTCTCCTTTTCCAGAAAGTGTTTTGGACTATTTTATATGGGGAGGTGAGGTAATCAAGATGAATCCTATTGCTGCAGGCTACCAGTTTGTTAATAGATTGACAGTTCAGATGAAATGCATTCTGTAGGACACCAGACTGACCATTTTATTAATAGGAGTGACTGTTAGGAAAAGATACCTGAGGAGAGAGAAATAAAAGAAAATGCTACAGTAAACATCTACATATGTTTCATTGTGCATAAGGATAATTCTGTACAGAAGATTTGAGCCAAAACAATCTTCAGTCAACAATACTGATTTAGTTCATTCAAAGTCTTAATTTCAAGTAAAGATGGATTAACTTACAATTACTGCTCAGAATTACTTCTAGGCTGGAGTTCTTCTTCTAGACTCTTGCTTTATGGATGCCTGGGCTTATGCTAACCTGACACATGGAGAAAGTCACAAGAACCCTTTCTTTCTATCAAACTAAAACTATAGTTCAGGTTGCCAGCCTGTACAACATTGCGGTACGGCTTATGGGACAATTTCTGAGATAATCTCAGGAAGTAGCCAAATTCTCAGGCAGTCAGCATTTTTAAGACATAAAAAATGATGCTTAAAACTGCAATTCTTTTTATCTCTCATATCTATACAATGACTGTATGGGAGAATACTGACAGGAGTAAGTGAAAACTTTGTTCAGGGTTTCCAAATAAGCTTCAGCAATGAAGATCAGAGAAATTTAATTTTTCTCTCCATAATGTCAGCTGTGTCTCTTCATCAGTAAGGAATTTAGGATAGTAAGAATGAAGTAAAAACCTCCATGCAAAGATCCGAAATTGTTAATTTCATTTACACTTCTCTATAAAAAATTTGTCTTTTCCTGCTGCAAGTCTGTAAGGGTATCTGGCAATTTCAATGTAATAATATCTCACCATGCTAGTTCCAGACAAGCCAATTATAAGTAATTTTCTTTCAGTCTTCTTGTATTTTTCTTTTATTTTCAAAATTATTAGTGTACTAGACTCCAAATAATCATATTATTCCCAAGCTGTAAGAAGATTGCTTATTACCCTTGGCCTCTGGTCTTTCACCTTCTAACATGACAAGGTGCACAAATATTCTTCAGAAATAAACTGCCCGTTAGCAGAAATATTTGTGGGACTATGGTATATTTTGTGCTTTGTATTTGATACATTAATTTCCTACAGTTTCATCATACAAAATTAATATAGAAATACAAAAAATATTTTAAAAAACTTTAAACAGGTACGTAAAACCTCAATTTTTCAACTCCTTATTTCCCCATCCACAAGGGAATAATAATGGGGGTATTACTGTAGTATGGGGGCAAAGTATCCTTTTCCCCTTTGTGCCATCTATTTAGACCATAAATGGCCTGAAGATTTAAGTGTTTATATAGCATTTATAGTAATGATACTTCTAGATATATTCTATCTGAATACATCTGCACACTTAAGGGATTTTAGAAATAAAACCCTATTAATTATTTGAAATAGTCTAGTCTGCATTATTAATAAGATTCAGCTTTGGAAAAAAAAAAGTGTCAGTTAAACAAAATAACGTAACCCTTGTAAAAACACAGCAATGTAGGAACCTTACATTTTTAACTTGTTATCAGCACATTGATGGTTCTAGCAGAACAACCTAAACAGTTTGTTAGGTTTGTTTAGAAATCACGATTGTACAGATCAATGTGGACTATTTAATAGTCCACAACTCTGAAAAGCACCGGAGAGGCACTATAAACTTGAACTGCATCTACCTTGGTCAGAAGGACTGTGCCCAAGCTTTTTAATAAATCCCATCCCAAGTGCCACCAGAGAGACTGAAATATGAAAAATCCTCAATGCAAACAGACAACCAGAAAGCATGCCACAAATTACTTTTTTAAATGCAGAATGGTTTTTCAGTGAGGAAGGAACTCTATGACAAGAATAAAGGACAGCCTGGGGGAAAAGGGTGCCAAAACAGATTTTTAACTCGCCAAGGGTAATGAACAACTCCAGGGTTCTGCTAAAATAATTAGGACTCTGAAAGGGGAAGTTGCATTCAGGTGGCTTTTTGTCATAGCTGTTGTTCTGTACAGACCACTAAGTCTCATGTGCTAAGTATAAGGTCGTTATGCGTGATTAAGTTCTTTGCAAGGTTTATTTCTAGGTATAACTCTCTGACCTCCCCAAAATAGGGGTGAGACTCCCTGGTATACTTAACAATTAATGTGCCTGATATCTTGGACATAGTATGACATTGGAGACAGACTATGAGGGATTTCATTAGGGATACTACTTGAGAGCTTAGCTCTTGAAGAACAGTTTTAAGAATTTTGCAATGGTATTAGGAAGGACATTACTATGTTAAATGCTTATCATTATTTTTGTATCTTTGCGTGTTTATAGGCACATATCGACCTAATACTTTCTACTAAACCACAGACATGTTAGTTTCTCGTAAGATGAAGTATCTTTTGCTGCCTCAGATAAGAAATTTTGAAGTTCAGAAATGTATATACCAGAAAAAACATATAGTTGCAATGATGAAACCAGTTTTTAAACAATTTTTGCATCCCCAAATCCACATATGAAAGAAAAATACTACTGATCATACATTCATTCAATCACTTTCTGTCTACAGATGAAGTGCCTTTTTGCAGTAGCCTGTCAAAATAAACCAAGTAAATATTGGCTATTTATAAAATCAAGTAAATATTGTGCAAATAGGATCTTTTGTATCTGAAAGCAATTTTTTTTCACGAGTAGATATATGCAATTTGAGTAACTGACCACACTACTGAAATACTAGACTCTAAACAGTTTTTGTTCAAATGTTTTTGTGAAACTGTGGGTTTTGTCAAAAACTTCTTTTTTAAAGAGAAAAAGAAAAGAGGAAAAGATAGGACAAACTGACTGTCTCACTTGTAACCATTTTCTACAATTTGATTTGCTTTGTTTTAGTAAAAAGAAATAAACAGGCCAAAGCCTATCATCAAACTTCCATGTTTACATCCTAGCATTCCTACAACAAATAGCAAACTTTTCAACATTCTTGTAACAACACTACCACTATTTTAAGGTTGATGAGGTATAACTCTTTGAAACAGAAAAATCTAATTTAAAACCAGCATAGTAATCAAATAATACCTTGTACAACAGTCTAGCTATTTAGGATTAATTTCTGGTACCACATTACAAGTATAAGTCAAACATTTCTGATAGCACCATGTTCACAGGTATTAAAAAGTAGTATAATGAAAACAGAATTTTCCACCCAGATTATATTTCCTTACCTGTTGATGAAAAAGAGCCCTGAAAAGACCATCCAAATCAACTCTTGATTGTGTCTCTCAATAAACTGGTAGGGTAGGATCCAGTTTAACCTGTGCCTAAAATTTCAGATACCTCCTCAAGTATGCGTGAATTCTTATGCCGTCAAAGGAGAGAACTTCATGACTTTGAAGGCTTCCAAAAGGAAATGGGTCAGAAAACCATTTTATCACTTCAAGTAGAACATTTGTGTTTGTAGAGAAGATCCTCATCTGAAGTATTTAAAAGGCAAATAAATCTTTCTACCTGCCTTAGAAAGATCCCTTTACTAGCTCAGGTTAGGTGGGAAAGATCCCACCAACCCTAGAACTCTGGAGGCAGCTAATCAGAATGGGACTGTAACATTTTTGCAGAAGAGCTCCTCATGCTCACAGACCACACAGACCAAAGCACTTCATGCATTTGAACAATCTGTTCTAAAAATATCCATGTATCTCACAACTGCATTCGTCTACATAATGTAAGCAGATGGTTGCTAATCTTCTTGCATTGCACACGAAGTGCCAAAACATGAACATTCAGGATGCACTAGATGTAGAATCAACATTAGGTAGAGAGCACTCAATCTTACGAGTGTTACTAATGTTATAGTAAGTCACCATCAAAGTTTGAAAACAAATCAACCAGCTGGGATCAAATAACATATTTCTAGGCCCAAAAATTGACAAGGTCCAAAAATCCACAAGACTCTTGCATTTTTAGGCACATATATTAAAATCTTAGATCTTAAGTCTAAATACAGTCTTTAATTGCTATTATAAATTAAAAATCTGCAAACAAGAGATAAAATATTGATTATAATATTGTATAGTGGTTATACAATATTATATATTTATATTATATAAAATAGTGATTATAATATATACATGTACACGATACAAGTACCTGTCTCAGGTATAGATACTACGTCTTATCAATGCCACCTGTGTGCCTAAGGAAAATGTCTAAGGCAAAAATCTCACACTCCTAAGAACTTTGTGCTTTGCACTACATTTCAATGTATTCAAAGTGTTAATTACGAACTTTACATTCCTGTATTACATAGAACCAAATTACCTGAAACACTGACTTTTTGTTTATGTATGCCATAGTACTTAATAGCTGTACAGTTGCTGCTTTTATCATTGCTCAAACTTCTTCTTTTTGAACTTTTACTGTATTATCAGGCTTCTCAACAGCTGTGCTGCATTTTTAACCTTACCTATTCAATGTGTTACCCTCAAAGTGAGTATTCAGCAAGAAACAGGACCCTACGCAATGTTTCAGCTGACCTTTAACTGTGCTGAGCTGCAAACTTTGTATTTCTGTTGTTTTCATTACTGGATGAGAATCAGATCACATGGCAGTTATGGGCACCAACCAGAATGCCAGTTGTAAAGATACATTTCTAAATGAATTTTTTTCAGTATCAATAAGAAGTGACATTACTGTATACCACCTTACTTCAGAAACATTTTTTTCTCAATGTTAAGTATTCCCAGAAAACACAGAATCATCTTTAATTCATTGTGTTTTACAGAATTATTTGTATTTCCTTAGCGTGAAAAATCACACAAAGAAATTTCATAAATGAATTAAAATGAAATTAAATAAATGGATTTCCTGAAAAAAGAAAAAGTAATACTACAAATAACAATCAAACAAAAGCTAAAAATAAAAAAATAAAAATGCCAAATTCTTAAAAAGTTAATAATGAAGGAACTAAGGTAAGCAGCCAGTGGTAGCCAAGTTCTGTGAAACATACCCTAGAGGAATTCATAGTTTGCTCTTCATATTAATGAAAGGTAGAGTTTTATGGCTTATGAAATCTAATTTGACTCTCCTTCACAGTAGGACATCACTCTTGAAGCTATTATTGCACACTTCAATTGCTATTTTAAATAAGCCCTTTGATAATTACATTTTAAAACTTTACTGCTTTCCACAACAAAAAAACTATTTTAATATTTGAGTGGGTTAAAAACAAATTATGCCCCCTACTGTTTCCACTTCATCAATACTCCTGAGTCTTTTCCAGTTTGAAGTATATCCTTGAAAATTCCTTTTTACTTACACGCTGTTTTTCCATGTGTTTTTCTGTACCAGTACCTACCAATGATGGGTCACACATGTTTACAGCTTCTGTACATTATTTCTCAGGGCTAGTCGTTCATCAACTCACTTTTCTCTATGGAAAAGTTGCTCAAAATCTCTACTTGTTTCTTCTGCTTTGTCTCCTTATACAGCAGCTAATTATCAAGCTCTATCAAACAGACAATTTGATAGCATTCACAAGTAAAAGCATTGGTAGCTGCCATACATTCTTACAAGCAAGAGTCCTGCTGATTAACGTTGAAAGTTTAAAGTGAACATCTTATATCAATACTAAGCCATAAATAAGAAATTACCTTTTAAAAAGCACAAAGTTATGGTTTCATACACATGCCTATTTAAAGCACATGAGAATAAGGCAAGTCTTAACAAGAAAATACAAAAGCACAGAAAAGTATCAAAGAGAACATCAAATAAGACAAGTAGAAATCTCTTACTGGTTCTTTCAGGCCTTTGAACAATCCTAGTCTTCTTATTTTGAATTCCACTTTCATGAAGTGCCTTAAACCAGTCTCTCAATCTGTTTGCAACCTCCCTGAATTCCAGGTCACTGCACACTGAAAAACAAAATGCAGAGCTGTTTAATGTTTTTCTCCTGGGTGCCAAATAGAACTTTTCAAGCTATGCTAAAAAAAAAAGAAAACTAAAATGTATAAAAAATAATATAAACTTATATGTTCCATAGCTTTCTTTAGTTCGTTAAGGCAATAGTTACAAAAGCCCCACCAGAACAGGTTGGAGATGTGATTT